CTTGAATATAACAAGACTAATAGCTCTTCTTGATATAGCGTGAAAGTTACTCACAAGAATTATTACTAATCACATATCAAATATCTGCACTAAGTATAGTATTCTCAAAGATAATAACTTTTCAGTACTCAAAAATACTACTACAAGTAGCCTACTATACATTATTAACAATATAATAAAAGATATCTAAGAATATAAAAAGAAGCTGTGATGTATATTCCAAAATATATGCAAAGTATATAACTCTGTCAGCTGGTCAATATTAAAAAATAGTTTGCTTTACATAAAAATAAACTCTAATTATATAAAAATATTTAAATAAACTGATTCAATCAAATATATACAGAGTATGAACTAACTAAACTATATTCAGTAGAAGATAGTCTTGATCAAGAAGAAGTATACTTATTAATTCTATAGAGAATTTTCTATAACTCATTATTATGTATGATTGACTCTATCAAGAATACTCATGAATATAATATCAATAACTTAAATATTTAATTCTCTCATTTTCAACCAGATCAAATTAATATAAGTATCTCAAGCCTAGTATTTATAGATGACACAGTGTGAATTTCTAACTCTAAAAAAAATATGAATAATATTCTAGAAATAGTATAAGAGTTTTATGATATATGTGATATTGAAATTAATACTAATAAAACAGAAACACTATCAATTAATTTATCAAAGCTAAGCGAAGATGTCAAACTATCTTTTTAACAATCAAAGTCAGAGATAAAAAGTATTTCAACAGATGGCTATACCAAATATTTAGAAATATTAATCAGCTCAGATAGCAAGTTCAGAGCCTAATAATAACAAATAGAAATAGAAATTAATTCAATAACATCCATACTTGGAAAAAAATTTATCACAGACAAATAAGCAGTATATATTTTTAACAGAGTTCTATTTCCTGCAATAGAATATAAAACTCAGCTTTTTATTCTATCAAATATCTTTTGTAATGCAATAATAAGAAAAATTAAAAAAGTGATCAAACAAAAATCATCATTACCATCAGATTATCTAGATTTAATCTTATTTCATCCAGCATAATTGACACTAGATAATATAGGTAATATCCTGACATGACATAAAATCTCAGAACTGTTCCTCTAGCTCAATAATAATATCTTGGTAGGAATGACTATTACAGTTAAATTACAACAACTACAAATGTAATATTAGTTAGAAATCTCAGTATTAGTCTCACTCATACCAGAGCCAAGTCCTATTAGAAAAAGCCTAATTGCAAGCATAATTCCACTAATATACAATTACAATATTTTCTTTTAGTCTACAAATAATGATACATTAATATCATGAATAAATACTTTTAGATAGTCATTAACACAAGTACTAAATAACTGACCAGATTATAGATCTGCTCATAAAATATTAGTCCAAGATAATATACTCTTCTTATTACAAATGACAAAATATAATGACACATAATTCATATCATAAAAATAATATAAACATAAATATAGAAGCTCTATACATAGATATGAATCAAAGTAGTTTACCATTTTAAAATAAAGAGTAATCAATACAAATATATTAGCAAATGTAATTATCACTAACAAATAATATGATACAAAATAAATACAGTACAAAATACCTGATTATAAAATCTCAAATCATTTCAATAATATTTCAGAACTTTATTCAAAATGACATTCTGTGAAAGTAAAAATAAGTATCACAAGTTTTGAATCATTCTTTACAGATAGATCTATAACTAATACTGACACACCAACAGTATCAGCTAGAGCAGTATAAATAACATAGTCCTCTAGTTGTGGTTTTAAATTTATCATAAATAATCCAACCTTCATCATAAAAATAGAGTTATTCACAATTTGCATATTATCAAAAATTATACCAGCAAATTCTGAGATCCTGATTTTAACAGATAGTCAATTAGTAATCCAAGAATTTAAGTATAATATAAATTACAAAAATAAGTAATCTACTAGATAGTTATATCAATAACTGAACTGATCACTCTGAGAAATTTTGGCATATAATATAAGCATAAAAAATTTCAAAATAATACTTAATAAAGTTAAAGAATACTCAAATAATCTGGATAATAAAATGATTAACCAATTAGCAAATCAAGATTGCAAAGCAAATTAGCTGTCTGTAAATTACTACAACATATCTACATTCAAATTTATATCAATTTTTAATCAGATTATGAAAATTAACTTGAATGTGTAGCACTTTCTTAAAAAATATTATCAAAACAAATGTATAATCAAGTGGTAATATGAAAATAAAGTTTGTCAAATTCTGAGACTAATATATAGAAAAATAAATTGTATGTTTATATCTTAAGTTTGAAACCAAGATGATAGAATAAATAGTAATGTGATAAATATACTTGTATTCGAAATTAGAACTTTCTGCATCAAAGTATTTCATAATATACTTCTGACTCTTTAATATCTCTGAGTTTGTAAATCTCATATATATAAAAATAACTAGTATTTACTATGTAGTAGCATGCAAGAAGATCAAAAATATATATGATTATGCTCACTAAATCAAAGCAATAAAGATAATATCAAATAATAAATATAATCAGTTTTCAGTAAAATAGTCACATTAGTAACAAAAGATATCAACAACAAAATTATACAGAATATTATCAGAATATACTTTTAATTATTAACAGTCTTTATAAAGATATTTAATATTAATACTCATGATATAACTTATCAGATATCACTATATGAGATAGTATTTAGAGAATTGGTCTAATTCCTTTATAATCATTATATTCTGATTACAATAGTCAGAACAATATTAATAAAGTTTATCAAATAGATATCCAACAAATTTTATACCAGTACATGAATATCTAGATGTAAGATGATCAATCAAAAAGAAAAATCAATAGAAATTACAAGAAAAATGAAAGTGCAAACTATAGCAGATAGCAAAGATTAGCTTACAGGATCAGTAATCATGATTTCATATCAAACTATTAGTAAAATATAAAAAAATTCATTTTTTTATACATACAGATATTCAGATAATACTTATCAAAATGGGTATTATCTTCCACAAGCAAGAATAAAAAGAAAAAGTATAGATATAATATGTAATATAATTATATTATATATTAAATCAAATAAAATTATTTTGTCTTTAGAACCAGTTTAGTCTTAGACAGACCCAGAATGACTAGTTGCATCTTATATTTTAAATATAATATGAATGATCTCTAATCTATCACTTATCATTATGTAAATTAGCATAAAGTATATGTAGATGAGAGATAAGACTATATTATAGCAATTCAAATAATAATAATAATAATAATAATAATAATAATAATAAATATAATATTTATTTAATAATGCATCTTTTCTTCTTATATCTCATGAAAATTAGAAAATTTTATCACATATTTATTTTAAAAAGCTTTCATATAATATAATTAATATTCACTATAAGACAAGTTATATATTAGAATCTAATAGTTTAAAAAATTATTTCTTTTTTATTTGATATCTACTTATTATAATTTCATATATATTTTAATACATATATAAATTTTTTCTTTTACATAATTTTTTTCTTTTACATAATTTTTTTCTTTTCTCATAATTTTACACTTTATAATATAAGAGCTATTAACTTACTTTCATATTTAACTTATTATAAATTATATAATATTAATAATTAAACTATTATTCTTATCTAGTCAAATATAGAATATTTTCTTATTTTACTTTATTTTCTTTTCTTTATCATTTTTTATCTTCATTATAATTATTTATTTTTATAATTTTTGATAGTTAGTATTAAAATTAATAATTAGATTGCTACTATTATCTGATTAAACATGAAATTTTATTATTAATTTTCAAAATACTATTTTTCACAAGTTATTTTTTTTCACAAGTTATTTTCTTTTTTACAAGTTATTTTCTTTTTTACAAGTTATTTTCTTTTTCACAAGTTATTTTCTTTTTCACTTATTTTTTGATTTTCACTTTTTTACATTTCTTTTGACAATATTCCAAAGATTTTTGATAGGAATTAACAATTGATAAAATTTTTAGCAATACAGTTGTGAAGAAGCAATGCATTCAAAACTGTTGATCGGTCTACAAATTTACTATAGCGAACCTATAATAAATTTCATTATGAAAAGGTTCGTTTGGCTGTACTGTAATTTTGATCTTCATTAAATTACAACGTTAGTATTAACAAAGCGCAAGATAGGATGCATTTTTTAGATCTACATTGCAGTGAGACACAGATTCATATTGTATTTTCATTGGCTTACTTAATCGTTTGAATCGATTCGTCGTCTTTTCTAAAGACCAACAAAAAATGTATTATCTTGACTTTCCCTTGCTAATTTAAGGCGGAAAATCTTTGCTGTGTGGACTTGAGAAGAATTTACCTCGAGTATCATAATTATTCAATTATATTCTAGATTGGTATTTTGTTATCCAAAACATTATAAATTATTCAACGTGGAAACCAATTGAACTAGAGATTATGCGGGATATATACACAAAATTTATGAAATATATTTTGAATGCATCAAACCGAGACACACAAACATCATCATCGACGATTGTATTCCTCTCTCCCACATCTATGGAATTTATACTATAGAAAGGTATAATAACAAGGGATGACGATGAAAAAATATATTTAATTACAAAACACGTGGTATTACATGTGTTATTATTATTAGAATTTGGATTGTTTAAATAATCAAAAAGATCCAGCATCAAAAATGTCCGAAAAAAAAATGATTGTTCACATTTTCAAAAAATTAAGAGAAAAATAAAAATTTTCCTACACTTATACCATTAGCAATAATGGTGATGATGAATGATGATGATGATGATGATAATGATGATGATGATTTGTGTTATTATGATTATTTCGTATTACTTTTGTGATATTACGATTTTCAACCAAAAAAATAAAAAATGAATTCAATTAATTTTATTTCATCACCTCGCCCTATTCTGTGTTGGTTGTTGAGTTTGTAATTGACCGAAATAAGTGATCGCCGTTTGTAAATGTCGATAAGCTTTTGTCACATACGGCGGAATTCGAGCGTCTGCTGTCGGTGGCAACAACCAGACGTCTAATTGTTGCCTGACGTTTGAGAACGCGTCTTTTGTATAGGGGTTCATGTGGTATCGGAATCGAAGGAATATTAGGTATATAAGTAGTGTGGCGAGTCTGATTTTGAAACTGTAAATAAAAAATTAAATTGAAATAACGGATTAGTGATGTTAACATCAATTCATATATTTAAAATTCAATGATAATTAAACATATGCAAAAAAAACTACATACGTCAAAAAATACGTCAGCAATGAAATCGTGATGACAACAACTTCAACAAAGCTCACTGTTCGCATAGCAGCCTCATAATTTTTCAGAACCAAATTCTGGATTCCTTTTGAAATTTCAATAAATATTTTTGCATTTCCGGGAGCAGGCAAGTCGGAATTGATGGCGGATGGTGCCGCAGCGGGCACAAAGGTCGGAATGATATTAGAGCGGAAGTAAGTGATCAAGTGAAACAAGGAGAATGTGGCATATGGTATTGGAGTGACTTTTTTATCGATAATTAAATTATTAACACGAAAACGCATTAATGTCGTGAACGGTAAATAATTGTAGGAGAAAATGACGAGCGTTTATAATATTACACAAATATAAGTGCCTTATCTACAACTAAAATCATTAATACATACCAAAAATTGGCGGATTGAAGAACCAAATTACCGCTAACGCGAGGTAAAATACATTCTCATCTCTGTTGATACGTTGAAAATAATCCCAATTCAAGTGAGGAAACTATATGTGAAATCGTATTTAGATTTTGTCAATAAAAAGTCAATGCCAATATCTTGAATCATTTTTTTTTCTTTGCAATTATTAATTCTAACGAAATTATCATTATCCGTCTAGCATCAGAATGAATGATAAATTTATTCCCACCTCCACCAATCGTAACTATTGATAATATGCTGATTATTGAACAAAAAAATCTCTTACCCCGTATAACTTATAGACTACAACGCTATAACTCAGCACTGCGCCTCGATACACCCAATAATAATAGAAACGTGCGCTCTGGCTAAAAAAAGACAAATAATAGAGTGACGTGCAAAGAATGACGCAGAGGTGCCCTAACCACCAGACGAATTGTGGATGCTTATAAAATTATATCGAAAAATTTTTGAATTAAATCATATATCGTACAATAATACACATAACGCACCAGCGCGTCAAGAATTGGCAATGAGTTAGGATAACGAGGAAAAGGAATTTCACGTTGAAAGTCTCGTTTCTCCAAGTAAAAAATACGAAACGTACCTTGACTAAAGTCTTCAGACGATTTATGAGTGGTTGATTGGCTGATGGTGGCATCTTGTAAGTGGGTTTCATAAGTTTAGATTTCGTGACAGTTTATAATTATTGATGCTCAAGTTTTCTGTGGAGTGATAATGAGAACTGTATGCTGAGGGAATTAATAGGGTGAACAACACTATAAATTAGTCGTATGGGCAAAAAAGTTCGATAAAAACAAAATAATGTCGTGGTTAATATTTTTTCGTGCGGGGGAGCGAGTCTAAACACGCAAAAATCATATACGTGCGTTATTACATGTAATATGGAAAATGGGGCACACAAAAATTATTCGTTCAGAAACAGAGAGCAACCGCGCCACACTCATACATACGCACAATTTTATTGATTACTAGTTTTTTTTCTAAAAGAAGACAAATTCGCTCACTTTTCTTTTCCCCTTCGTCTCTTCGGGGAAGAAGACAGATATAGAATTTTAAACAAGTATATGTGAATGCAAGTTGGAATATAAGAGAACTAAGTGTTAAAAGGAAACGATGAACATTTACTAAAACTAAAAAGCTGTTGATTCAACTTTAAAGATTTAATGAAACAGTCGATTTGCATGTGTAACAACATAGGTAAATATATGCGTCGCGTTTTCCCATTTTTTGTTATTATTGTCACTAATTTTTTGTTATTATTTTCTTCTTTTACTTTTAAACATACATTGGGTGGAATTTTTTTAGGTGTAAATATGATACCTGTCATACCAGTAGGCCATCTTTGACAAGGATAAAAATTAGTGATTTTTATGAAGTTACGAGTGCCAAGCAAGTTGCAAGAAAAATGTGACGGAATCCAGTAAGAGTATAATGATCTCTACAAAAGAAACAGGAAAAACAAAAATTTATGTCCGAGAGACCATAAGCTCATAATGATCAAGAAAACATGTATATATGCAAGAAACTAAAAAAGACATCCTGAGCCATTTCATGATATTGGTAATAAAAAATCTGTGCAAAAACTCAAATATTCTAAATATATAAGCTTTTCAAAAATCACAAAAAAGTTCAAGATTATTCTGAAGAAAATTTAATATGTAGATTTTTTAAAAGATTATAAACTTAATATCTTGAGAAATCAAAGTGATATTAGAATTATATGAAGAGCTAATAATATATAGCTAGTAATAAAAAATATTTTTATATTTATAAGACAAAAATAAATAAATTTGAAATTTTATTTTTAAAAAAAATCAGATATTATTTTTTGTAATAATTATATATATATGTGACAAATTATTATTTTTCTGACTTCAAGAAGTGATTAAAATGTAATTCATTATGTAATTTATATTTAATAAAGATTATAAATATGAAAAAAAAGTTTAAAATTCAGGATAAATAATTCTTAGAATGTAAAATCAGATAATTTTTTTTGATTTAATACTAAAATTTATAAATCATATGATAGACTATTTTTCATATATATAATATTATATTTTATTATAAAACTATTCTTTATTTCTTGTAAACTTTTAATTTTAAATAAATAATCTTATTTTTATTTTATTTTTCTTTATTTAACAATATTATAAATTAAATATTTATTATAATATTAATATTTTTTTATTAATATAATAAATATTTGATTTTATTTTTAAGTTTATTTTAATAATGCAAAATAAATATTATTATTATATAAATATATTAATATATTTATATTATAATTAAAATACTTTAATAATTATATTTTATAATTTTAATTTAAATCAAAATTTTAATATTTAATATTTTAATACTTAAAATATATATATAATAAATAAAAATTATATATATATATAATTAATATTTATAAAATTTAAATATTTAATTAATCTGAAATATTATTTTACTTGAATATAAAATAAATTATTTTTATAAAATTTATAAGACTTTGATTAATTATTTGAAAATAATTATTATATATAATATTTATATATTAATAAATATATTACTATTATTATAATTATAATATATAAATATTTTTCTTATTATTATTATAATTTATTGTGAAAAACTTAATACATCAAATAAATATTAATAAATTATTTTTTTAAAATAAAATTTTTAATTTTATTTTATTTAATTAAATTATTAAATATTAGAATTTATTTAAATATAAAAATTTTTATTATATATTTTTTATAAAAAAAATTTTTACTAATAATAACTTTT